CTTAGTTTTTATTTTAGCATTGAGGACAATGCTTCTCTCAAGTTTAGGAGAGGTAGGGTCTCAAATCATTGCATGATAGTATTAGTATACTGAATATACCATGACATTAGTAAGTGTTTGAATAGTTTTCTGGAATTAATTAAGGATGCCTGATGATGAAGAATTCTTTATGGCTAGGATAGAATGCATATGACTGGTTGAGGATGATAGAACCAACTCTAGGACTTGCTTCTTTGAAACCCTTGGCATAAAACTTTGAATTATGAAACCCACCATAAAAAAATTGATGTTGTGAATAAATGCTTCGGCATATCTGTAGAGGGATACTCCATTATGCCATGGCATATGAGTGAATGAAAGTAGTCACGGGATGACTCTACCTGACTAGCTCGTGGGTGGAAGGTATGCTCCCTTTCACCTAGAGTGTGGGATGGTAGGTGTGATGAGCTAACTCCCCTAGTAGCAGAATTAATGAAGGAAAAGAAAACAAGGTGGGAGTAAAAATTTGTAAATGTCGTGGAAAATTAAGAATGCTTGCTTAGAAAATTTTTAGGTTTGTTAAGCATGGACTGGATACAAACACGCACACATCCATACAAAGAATCTTGCTCTAGGAGACGATACTTGATTTCTCAAACTGGTCTAGCATATTGAAGCCAAATGTTGAGGGCTGAAATTGTATCCCATATAACTATTCTGCTTCTGAACTTGCCATGGTATTTTTATTTTGCTTAATACTATCCATTGCTTAAGGACAAACAATAACTTAAGTTTGGCGGTATGATAACTCCATAAAAAGGTCACATTTTGGGACATTTTCACTTAAGTTATTGAATGTCTAAGAGCCCATTTAGGACCATATAGATGCATTTAGGAGCATATAGTTTCATGTGGTGGAATTCTGTTTGCCGTAACATTTTATTTTGTAATCAGTGTTGCTTTATGGGAAAGGTGTTTGTTTGGTGATGTGGAGGAATTGAGAGTAAGGAAAAGAGAAAGGGAAATGTCGTGACATAAGGAGACTGCTGAGCATAATAAAAATGCCGAGTTAGATTGGTATTTCAAGAGTGAACAAACTGAAAGAAGATATTTTTGAAGTCAAATGTCTCTACTTTCACGTGACCTCTAATCGTAAGCGAGAAATCCACATCGAGGATCCGCCTGGAGGGGATCAGTGCTGCTACAACTGATCCTACTGAACCAAGCCGCCCTGCTACTGGTCCTATCTGTCTTTGAGTTTCTACAGCGGGATCATGTCTAGTACTCAACCAGCCACCCAGGCTGGATCAATGTCAGCTGCCCATTTGGACCACTGTCAGCTCTGCCCGATCCTCACGTGAATTAAGCATGGTTTGGTGTATCCTAGGAATTATAATACCAAGTTTTAGGGTTAATATTCCCCTATAAATAGAGGATGAAGCCACAATGAAAAAGACTTTGGTTCCACACTGTTTTGAGCTTAAAAAGTCAAAGGGAAAATATCTCTCCTTTCTTCGTCGATCCTATTTGATGTGGTATTTTTCCTTTGACAAGCTTGAGGGAGTGGCGTTCTAGGTGTCTGAGGTGAGCTAGTTCGCTGGGACAGTTTGTGGTGGCCGATGGAAGCTCCGATAGTGCACGTCGAAGGCTTTTCCTCCTTCCCTTTGCTCTTTACTTTCATATTTTATCATTTGGGTTGTAAGGAATGGATTAACTTACTTTGTGCTTACTTATTTAGAGCCCCACTATGAACTAATCCTATTTGGTGGGAGTTCATTTTGGATATTTAATTTTTATTTCAATGAATGGTTGTTTTTCTATGTTACAATCTATTTTGTTTATGGATCTTAGTGCCTTAAGGTTGTAAGAGCTACGAGAGTAGTCATTCCTTAGGATATTACTTAGGGTTCGAGAGAATATCTAGGTAGTATATCATTAGTGTTCGAGAGAAACTAAGGAGGAACTGCATAAGCAAGGAGTTATAGATAGTAACTAGGCCTAATCCACCTTAGAGATAAGGCTAGGATTTCATTCGACTAAAAGGAGTTGTGCATGAGCGATATGTTAGATGTTAATACTGTCGCAAAAAGGTATTGTCGAGACATATCCTGTTATCTGGATTAATAGGATCACTGCAGGGGCTTACGCAACCTGTTTTGCCAGGGCATCTTCAATTTGTCAAGTCCCTTACTAGAGATAGCATAGGGCACCCTAGTAAACTCTATCGGGCAGATAAGGCATGGAAGTAAGACCATTCTGAGAAGTAGACTTAGATTTTCCTAAGTGACTTCTATCACTCATTCCTATAGTAGCTTGTCATGTGAGAAAGACAAAGTCCTATCAATTAAATCCCATATTTATATTTCATTTTGCCTTAACATTTCCATTTGTTTACATTCAACACAATTTAATTTGCCAAGACATTTCAATCTAATTTGCCACGACATATCCATTTTCTACCATACTTCCATCATTCCACTTCCACAACATCCATTTCAATTTACCACAAAATTATCATTTGTACATACCATTACTAACTTTACTTAGGTGACAAAGTAAAGTTATTTGACCGAACTTATCAATTTACTCCAATCCCAGTGGAGACGATACTCACTTATCATTGTATTACTTATTCGATTGTATATAATTGCACATAATTCCGCACCATATATAGTACTCATATAGACTGGACAAGTACACATAGTATTGATATATCGATTAAATATATATATTTTAACAACATATCATCATAACCCTTACTATATAAATAAATGCACTCACCTGACTATCCTTGCTATGTGTCCAAAAGGTAGTAGGGCTTATTACTCTGGTACTTTATCTTTGCCCTTAGTTTTGCTTGTTTCAGGAGCTTGGTTCCAATCTACTCAAGCAATCCATAAAGACATATACCATACTCAATGTTAGAATATTTTCTAACCATTGTACTTAAACAATACTCAAAATAACATATCATTAACTTTCTATACCAATATCAGCCTATTTTTAACATATCTGTCTACATAGTATCGTTATTACTACCCTAGTATCGATATTTCTATACTATGGTGTTGATACTCCCTTTGGGTATCGATATCAAAAATAGGTTCGATGTTTCCAGGTATTGATACCCTTACCATGGTACTGATACTACCCTACTATGGTACTGATACCCCTACTGGTATCGATACCAAAATTAGATTCGATATTTCTAGGTATTGATACATTTTTTATGGTATCAATACTACCTCATAGGTATCAATACTGATTGAATCAGTATCGATACTACTCGTCTAATTTATCTCATTTGAGCCTATAGTATCGATACTGTTCTTAGCAGTATTGATACCCTTGCCCAAAATTTCCAGTTTTCAACTCGATTATCATCCCAATGTGGTCAATTCTCGTTATAATTACCCCATACAATACTATTAAACTCTTCCTTAACTATCCATAGTAACATTCCTTCATTTAACCTCTTAAAACATCTAAAATCGTTCAAGAACATTCAATTCTAAGAATCAAACCACTTTTTCTAATATGTTCTTTATCCCATCTAATACTTCTAATCTCTCATTTACCTCATTGGCAAGTCAAATCTACCAATAAACCTCAATAAAAACCAATAGACTAATATATCATTTAAAAACCAATTTCTAAAATCTCTAATATTTTCTCCATTTCTTAGTTTTAATCTTATTAAATCCCTCTTTAAGCTTCTATCATGCTCAAAGCTTCAATAACCAACCAAAAACGAAATGATAAATTATCCATATGAAATCTTACCTTTGAGCTAGGGAAAGGAGCTTTCTACAGGGAAAAAGAAAGGAAAGAACAAAAGCTTTTGTGTAACCTAACTCCCCTTTTTCCCTTTATTTAATACCTTATTAAAATACATTTTAACTCCTCTTTCATACAAAAGACTAAAATACCCTTTTAATAATCCATAGTCACAATTTAGTCTAACTATTGATCCTACTAATTCTAATCTTTTATCATATAATCGAATAAATCCCCATATTTTAAAATACTTTCAATAAAGTCCTTAATTCAACAATTGGGACATTACAATTCTCCCCTTTTTGAAAATTCATCCTCGAATTTTAAAGAAGTACCTGAATCAAAGAGATGTGGAAACTGACCAAAGCACTTTAACTAATGGAATCCGTTTGTTACGCAATTCCTTGGTTTTCTTAGCCAAGATCCGAACTGGTTCTTCCTCATAAGTCAAATTTGGTCGGATCTCTATTTCTTCAGGAGTAATAACATGCGAGGGATCTAATTTGTACCTCCTACGCATCGATACATGAAAAACATTATGGATCTTGTCCATATCCGGAGGTAAAGCTAACTGATAAGCTACGGGTCCAACCCTTTTTAATATCTCATACGATCCAATGAACCTCGGACTCAACTTTTCTTTTCGCCCAAAACGTAACACCCACTACTAGAAAAAAAAAACACCTTTAATGACACTCATTGCGCGTCATTTATGGGTACGGATGACACACAATTACCTGTCATTGAAGCCACCGACATGAATTTCAGATGACGCGCAAATGTGTGTCATAAATCTATGATGCGCATTTATGACACACATTTATAACGCTCATTTATGACGTTCATTGAGCGTCAAGCCTCCGTCATAAATAAAGATGACACACATTTGTGTGTCATAAATTAATGACACGCATGTATGACTTACATTGTGTGTTATTGAAGCCCCCGTCATAAATGAAGATGACACACATTCGTGTGTCGTGATTGTATTTCGTAAATTATATATATATATATATATATATATATATATATATATATATATATATATTAGGTTGACAAATAATCAAACTAAATCACATTTAATGCCTTATAATACTAAATATATATATCATATTATATATAAGCAATCCATTTGCATACAATATATACACATGACACCCATGAAAAATGTTCCACTGGCACTATAATATTGCAAACATAATTAGCCAATCATTACAATTATAGAGTGATTTCGTTGGATGTAATCAAATAATGCACTTTGTTTCCACATACTTAGAGCTTTGAGCATCTGGATAAAAGCCACAGATATGTGCAAATCGACAATGTTGCCAAACCTGTATTGACAACAACAAAAATGAGGATGCAAAAACAATATCAACAAAAGGTAAGCAAAATAAAACAAAGATGTCAAAATTTTGCACAACCAGTACATAATAAGCTCCATATCGTATAAGTAGTTTGTAGCCTATAGCACGACATTAAGATATGAAAACACGGAGCAAGACAAATGGTAGTAATTCAACAAATTAGGATCCTCCTTAATTAAGAAACTTCATTATGCAGAGAAGGCAACTTGACCCTTTGAAAGAGATAGTTCAAAAAGTTGTCACATCAATTAAGTACAGCAACTATTTTAACAACTTACAAATATAAGAGTGTACAAGTATGCGCCTGTTGCAATCGGAACACCAAGTGAAGTTGTACCCTCTGGAAAAGACCGCAACTGGTTTATGATAATTCCAATGAGCAACAAGGCAAAAGCCTCCCACTTTACAAACATAGATTTACACCACACATGCAATATGGATAAACTATAACCAATTAACCAGTCCAAATGCTTACATATTTGATTAGTTTTTGGATAATTGACCATGATATAGTTCAAGGAGAAAAATCTTTCTTTTCAAACTAACTTGAATAATAGAAAACCGCCGCTTCATGATCATCTTTAACAAGATAGCTATTACCAAAACCTGCATAAGTTGGACAGTACTGAAACAGATTCACTAAGAATTCTCACAGGAAAACCAAAAGAAAAGGCATGATCATGTGTATAGTACTCTAAATTTTCCCATGGTTAACAGTAGTATAAAGTTAGCTTTCACCAATACATTAAACTTCTAGATAGAATGAGTCCTAAACTAATTCTATTTAGGATTCATCGCACTCATTGATTGTGGTTGTAACAAACACATGACGAATAATCAAATGGAAATGGTTTTAAAGCATAAACTAACCCAAAATGCATTTATTTAGAGCAAAAAGGAGATTGATTAGAACATATACCATTTAAACAATCATTAAACAAAATGTATTATTCTACCTTTAGGTTACTAAGCATCTTCACAGTAGCAGGATTGAAATAAAGCTGCAGGGGAATAATGGCATAAATATTAGAAAACAATTACTTCAAGGAAAAAAGTGAAAGAATATTAAAAAGACTTTAGCTAAAGACACCACCTGCATGATGAACTTTAGGTAATTGTTAATAGCGTAAAGTAGAGTTGAAACTGCAAGAAGTGCATTATTTCGAGCAGCCTGTAAAATTTTATAGCAAAGGAAAAGACACCTTGAGGTCAAAAACATGTTGATATATTACTTTCAGAGAAGTAGATTCAGTGCAAAACAATAATTTGCAGATAAAAAGGGGCAAATGAGATAAAAGTTCCAAAAAGACTTCATGTCACATTAAGACGGTTTTACTTGATCAAAATGACACCACACTGATATTTGCACAGATATATTAGTTTACAGAATGCAATCCAAACATATTTTTATCAGCCGAATAAGATACTTAATTGGAAGCATCTTTTTTAAAAACCCCATAATATGAATAGAGAGTTAAATTATATCAACTATTAATAAACCAAAGGAAAAATAAAGAGAATGCCCCTCAAAAATAAAAGAATGCTAACAATGTATCTTCACTCATCTACCATTAGTCTCATTAAAGTTGCAGATTGCATAACACCGTGTCTGACCAAATTTACTGTACAAGACCAAGAAAATCAATAAAAAATCCACAGGTATGTGAAACTAAAACATTTCACTGATTTGTTTTATCTCTACTTTCAGCATGGCATCTTAATAATTGAAATTCTTCTAATTTATCCCCCTTTAAGACTCAAAATATCTTTAAAGTGTAAACTAAGATCACAATGAATAACCATGTTGGTATGCCAATTGTTATTGTTATCTACCACAGAGCATACATGGTTAAGTCAGCTTCTTGACCAGTCTCACAGTTTAGCATCCCAGACAAAATCATCGCCTACCAGTAGAAGAAACGTAATGAAACTAACATTCAAACCTCTAATTAGCCCAATGGTTGCCTCTTAGAATAGTCTACAAGTTTTTCATTTTTTATCAAAAGCTATTGGAATGTATCATAAAACAATCAACTCAAGAATCAATAGTCAAATTAGTGATACAGAACTAAATAGAATTGCAATTATAATCATAAATTTGTGGAAGTAAAGTTCTTACCTGCACTAACGAAGAAATTGAGAGGAGAGATTTCTCCCCAACTTTCTTATTCCGAGCCTTCAGAAAGAGAGAGTTAAATAAGTACGACAGTTAAAACCTAATGAAGAACTTAGTAAAAAGAATCTGAAATAGCATTTAGAATAATAATCAATGGGATAGGATTTCCATTAATCTTTGAAATGCAATTGTTCCTGTTACGGCTGGAACTAATAGCAAGCCCATTGAGCTTCTACAGGCTAGGCTTAGTAACTTTTCCTAACACTGTAGGCCATGAGAAAAAGTAAATTTACTTTAGCAATCCTCTCTAACTTCCAGAACTAATGCAGCTGATCTCTTACACTTCCAGAATATCAGATAATACATGGAAATGAACATTATCTACTTGTTCCAGCATGTCAGGATATCCCCACTAAAATTAATTTATGAATCAGATACAAAACAATTTACAAAAATAATTGATGAATTTTGTAACACCCCCTCTCTTATACTTCTCAAGTTTCACGAACAAAGATATTTTTAACATTTTTCATACATGAAGCAATTTAGATTGAATAGTTAAAAGTGAGGACCGAGTTTAGTGGGATATGGATACTATCTTATGGTGCTTCTGACACCTTTATACCATATAAGCACTTTGCTTTGTTCACGGAAACCAAATTCAACAATTGCGCTGTATAAGGGCATCTTATATTGGGTACACTGGAGCTCTATTTTCCCAAATTATTTTGATAAGTTGTAATAGAGAGACATTTAAGATTTCTTTGGTCTATCTAACCTAGTATAAAAAGATAATTTAATCTTAAATTCAACAGGTACAACTATGACTTGATTGAGAATACAACTCCATGGGGACAAGAGAGTTCCTCATTGGACACCACTTTAGGCATATGTTATAACATGATTATAGCTAAACTAACACATGACAAGCATATAAACCTTTTTGTTGAGTTCTTGAACTCCACTTTAGGTAAATGGTATAAGCCCATTACTATTCTAATTGACAGTTAATAAAATGCTAAAAAGGTACCTGGAACAAGAGCATAATAATGGCGAAAATAACTTTAGCCAACTCAGTAAGAAAGTTAACGCTAATGGGACTAAACTCGAAACCACCATTCACCTTTGATATATAAACTAATATAGGCTGCAATAATATAAACGTATGGTGTTAGAACGCAAAGAAATCCCAGATTCATATTACCGATTTAAATTTGATGGTTAGAAACAAATAATTTACCTGAAAACCGACCAAAATGCAGTCCCCACCGACCAAAAGAACATTGAGGAGATGATTTTTGGAGGATACATAGCTACGATGCGTATCGTAAGCCCTCGAAATGGTTTTAGAACCGGGCGGTGCTATTTTTGAATGGCAAACACTGCATTCTATCATCCCCGCCAGCGCCTGCACCTAACTAACCAAACTAACAATATATCAAAAACATATAATCAATTCTCATTCTCTCAAATAACAAAAAGATCATTTAAGGCGGCAATCTCAGAATTGGGAGTAGAAAATGGGGGAAATTACCTGAGTAGAGTTACGGGAAGCGAAAGGCGAGAGAGGCTGTAGATCTTGAGAGATCTCAAATTCACAGGAATGTAACATAATAAGTCCTAAGACCAGAAACCCAAATTGAATGGTGGAATAAAGAACGAGGAATACTTGTGAAAGAAGCGGCGTGAACTGATAATTATCGAGGGGAAGAAGCGGGAAAGGATGAAAATAATGGGGGGAGAAATTAGAATAAGACTCCTAAAGATGAAAAACAATTAAAACTATACTTCGTGTTTTTGTAATTTTTTTTGGATTATGACTATTAAATATGAAACACATTATTGTAAGTCATAAATCATTTAGATTTTAAAAAACATGATATTTTTTTATGACACATGTTTTGCAAGTCATAAATTAGTGTGTGTCATCGTTCGTGTGTCATTAAAGGTATATTTTCTTGTAGTGACCTTTTTCCAAGGCGATACTCTAAAAAAATACTTTGTCTCCCTCCAAGTATTCTATTTCTTTTCTTTTCAAATCCACATAGGACTTCTGTCGATCTGAGGCTATCTTTAGATTACTCTGAATAATCTTCACTTTATCCTCCATATCTTTCATCAAATCTGGACCAACCAATTCCCGATCTTTCAATTCAAACCAATTTAATGGCGTTCTGCATTTTCTCCCATATAGAGCTTCATACGGGGCCATCTTAATACTGGATTGATAACTATTATTATACGCAAATTCTGCTAAAGGTAAATACCTTTCCCACGATTCCTTAAATTCAATCACACATGCCCTAAGCATATCCTCCAGTATCTTAATAGCTCTCTCTAACTGCCCATCTATCTGGGGATGAAAAGTTGTACTAAAGTTTAGTCGAGTACCCAATGCCTCATGCAAAGACTTTCAAAATCTTGAAGTACATTTGAGGTCTTTATCAGACACTATCGATATCGGAACTCTGTGCAATCTGACTATCTCTTTTATATAAAACTTAGCATACTTATTCATTGGGTAGTCTACTCGAACTAAATGAAATGAGCCATCTTGGTCAGTCTGTCTACAATTACCTAGATTGAGTCCTTTTTACCTGGTGAGAACGGTAGCCCTGAAACAAAATCCATCGTGACTCGCTCCCACTTCCACTCAGGAATGGATATTGGCTGCAGTAACCTAGATGGCACTTGATGTTCAGCTTTCACTTGCTGACATGTCAAACATTTGGCAACAAACTCTGTGACAACTCTTTTCATGTCAGGCCACCAGTAACGACTTTTTAAATCCTGGTATATCTTATCAAAGGGCTATAATGTGCTTCACAAAGAATATATTTCCTCAATACATCATCATCAGGAATATGAAGTCTTCCTCGATAATATAAGCATCTATTATCCCTAATTTTGAAATCCTTGCCTTCTCCATTTTCCACTTCCGCCAATATCATTAAGCATTTCTTATCTCTATCTTGCAGCTCTTTAACCCAATCCAAAAACATTAGCCTTAACTTTAATTCGATAATCAAAGCATTGTCTTCTTTTAAGTACATACGTGCGTCTAAAGCCCTTAAGGCTTCAAAAGTCTTTCTACTGAGCGCATCTGCTATCACATTAGCCTTTCCCAGATGATAATCAATGACCAAATCATAATCCTTTAGAAGCTCAATCCATCTTCTCTGCCTTAAGTTCAGTTCTGTAACACCCCCAACCCGTATCCGACCCGAATACGAGTCCGAAGTGTCACATTGACTTTTCAAACATTTATTCGTATAAAATAGTGAGTAATTTAAAAACTTTGATAACATTTAACTTATTCAAAACGTTTACAAAATATATCAGAGTTCATACAATTTATATCTTTAGACTACATGCCAACTACACTCTATAACCAGTACATATATTTTCTGATCTGACATTTGGTAAGGAGAATTGACCTGTCTTGCTCCGCATTCCTCTTTACTCTTCTCGAAACCTACGTGTGAAACAATCACACGCTAAGTCGAAGACTTAGTGAGGCATAACAACTTATAATGCACTTTATAACATATATCAATACATGCATATTCTGTTCTATCATGTTATACCAATTCCATGCATTCTTTGTATCATATAAAATCATATCAAATTAATTACAGTAAATACATACATACACATAATTCATCATTAACAGTTTATCATGTAATCACATACTTTTATGGTTAACCTTTTCAATCAAACACTATACACACACAACATCATAATATTTCTATAACATTTATCATACCACTAACATATATTTGTTCATATCTCTGGATTAGCCCATGTACATATGTGAGAACTATCGATATGTGAGTCTATAGAGGTTGTGCACTAATGTTGTCACCACAGCTCGTATAATTGCACCGAAGTGCCGCGTAGAATTGCACCGTAGTGCCATATAATAATGTCCATAAGGACCACATATTATTCCTTAAGAATCATATACATATACTAGGGATCAAGTATGTGTCTTACAAGACTTCACACATGTTCCACAGAATATATATATCCCGAAGGACCGCGTAGAATTGCACCGTAGTGCCATATAATAATGTCCCTAAGGACCACATATTATTCCTTAAGAATCATATACATATACTAAGGACCAAGTATGTGCCTCAAAGACCTCATAAATGTTCCAAAGAATATACATATGTCCCGAAGGATCGCGTAGACCCTCGACTCTTGGCATGCCAACTATACCCCTAGCTCTCATGACACATAACATGGGCATTATCATTTATTTCATTTCAAATATTCACATAAACATGTAATTCACTTTCACATATCACGTATCACATAGCTTCTTTTCATATTATCACATAGTCACATAGTTCACTTACACGTAGATCATTTCCATATAATTCACATGTCACATATCTCATGTTCTTGTATAATTTCTATCATTTCTCACCCAATCACATTTATTCATGTAAACATACTTATCATATCTTGTTCACATAAGATCATATACTTCATATAACATATAGAAACACCTAGAACACTTTCACGTAGTTTATAGTCATAGGTCTTATCTCATAACATATACTTGTTTTCACATATATATTTCATATCATTTCTTATACCATCACATAATTCATTTAACATACATAACATATCATATAACATTATAATAGAAATACCTATAAGTCATATCACTTAAAGCACATATACTTATAGTCACATTTCTTATAACTTAATCTTATACCTTCTCTTAGACATATATATATATATATATTCACATGTTCAGGTAATCCACCATTTCATCACATAATTATGTATTCATATAACTCATTTCATTTCATATCTACCTATATATATATATATATATTCTCAAGATTTATCCTAATATAAATCATATAGCACTCTTATAATTCATATTCATATTCATCTATGTCAGACTTATAAACACATCTCACTTCTATTATTTCTTTATGTATATAATCTAATCTATTTACTTAATTCAATTTCATATAACTCTTATAATCTTCTCATATAGCTTCATAAATTTCTATCATACAACCCCTGTGTTATAGTTTTATTTAAACATATGAATCTTTCCCATCTAGCTTATCTTATATGTTCATATTATCATTTATGTTCAAATCTCCTAGTTAGTGTACTATTCTCACATCATCCTATAGATCAATATTATCTAGCTTATTTCACTTATCATATAATAATATAATTATATTTTACTATGATCACATAGTTTATATCTCATATAATTCATAACCTTTCTTATGTAATCACTTATACTTTCTCACCTAACACATAAAAGAACAGATCAATCCATATAATCAAGCATACATACATGCATATTCAATTCATGCCTTTAATCATGCATTCATGTGTAACACTTCAGGAAATAGACTCATCGCAAGTCTTATTCCCATCGCACATCATATACTATTGAATATGCACTCACCTGGGCCTCGTTGTTTGAATCAATCCTAATCCTTAGTTTGTTCCGGAACAAGCTTTCATTCTATATCTACATAATAATACATTAATACTTATCAGTATACTGATTGATATATTCGAAAATATCACTCCTTAGTCTCAAACAAAAGCCAATTTCATCTTTTAATGAAGGTATGCATCGATGCACTACACCATGCATCGATGCATAAATCCTATTCGATGTTTGTATTTAATGGGGATGCATCGATGCACTCCTTATGCATCGATGCATAAATCCTATTCGATGTTTTCTATTTAAATTCATGCATCGATGCACTGCATGTGCATCGATGCACCTTAAACAATTTCTGGTATTTATCATCGATGCATCGGTGCACAATGAATGTGCATCGATGCACATTGCCCAGAACTGACATTTTAGCACGTAAATCATCAACTCTTCCCTTAATTCTTCTATTCTAAGCCCCTATTTTGACATTAAACTCAATTACCATTACTTGAACCAACTTATATCCATGTAAATCATCTTTAACCTCAAAATCCTATCTTCTTTATGAGATTCAAGAATCATACCAAATTTTCTATATGTTCTAAATCCAATTCTATCACTCCAGATCTCTTAATTTAACCATTGACAAGTCAAATTTAACTTCCAATTTAAGAAATGAACTCTACTTCAAGATTTCACTTTTCTACTTCCTTTCTTTAATTCTTCATCTACTCCTCATCTTATAGTTTTAAGATAATCTAAGCTTTCCTTAAGCTTAGTTATTATCTAAGGATCAATAAGCAACCTTAAATTCATCAAGAATTTGATCCACAAGAAAACTCACCTTTAGCTTGGCTCTCCCACGTATGAAGAAGAAGAAAGGAGAAGAGAACTCTGGATGTTTCTCATTTCCCACGTTTATATTACCTTTTAAAAGAAAGATAAAAATCTTTCTGATCAAATGACCATTTAACCCTTAGCTTCTTTTAATAATTACAAAATAACCTTCATCATATATATTCAATAATCATTGAACTATTTCATTCTTATACTTTAGTCACCAAATTCTGAAACTTTACAATTTGGTCACTAACCCGGTATTGAGGATGTTACAAGTTCTTTCTGAGTCAACAAATACTTTAGACTTTTATGGTCCGTGTAAACATGGTATCGCTCACTATACAAATAATGGCACCAGATTTTCAAAGTAAACACTACAGTTCCAATTCCAAATCATGAGTTGGGTAATTTCTCTCATGATTCTTCAGCTGTCTGGAAGCATAAGCCACGACTTTACCCTCTTGCATCAGTACACATTCCAATCCGTTATGGGATGCATCACTGTAAACAACATATTCTTTACCCGAATAGAATATAATTTTTAATTACGAATTTTATTCTCAATTAAAATTTTTAACTGGATATTTGATGTTTAATTAAATATAATATTAGTGAATTAAAAAATAATATAATAATTATATTTGAATGAATGTTGATTTAAATAATTTTATAAATGATATTATAATTTTGATAATATTTTAAGTTTAAATCATAAATAAAAATAAATATTTTATATTATAAAAATAATTTATTTATCATATTACTTAACGAGGAAAGATGATACTGAGTCATTAAACTATTATTAAAGATGATAGTTAACTAGTAGAATAATACAAAAGGGGAATAAAATATACATTGTTTTATTATTTATCACATTGTTAAAAATATATAATAATAAAAATAAATCGTCTATTCACGTTAATTATAGTTGTTTTCAATTTGGATTATTTTCGGTTTGAGTTGTTTTCGATTTAGATTAATTTTGATATTAATTGCTTTCAATTTGAGTTAAATTAGGTAAAAATCCATATCAGTCCAATTAAAATTTGATTCGGTTTTGATTTAATTAAATTTATTTTATATTTAAAATTAAGTTTGAATCATCGTATTTGGATCTATACAAATTTTGAATAGGGTCTCAATTTGAATAATTAAATTTGGATCAAATTTACTTGTTCTAGCTTACTCCAACATCCCGAACAACTAGAAATCAAATAGGTGGTACAAAACTCGAAAATACTTCAACAATATATTTTATGGAAATTATTGGGAAGAGATTCCATTGTTATTGACCCTTCGAATGTGAGGCAACGCGAGTGTTTGGGGTTGTGTCTAAATAAGATTTTTGAAGTACTGTTTATTTTCTCTTTTATTTATTTTGTTTATTGTGGAAATAGTTGTGATCACAATGATTTTCTGCAATATTATCAAACTTCAGATTCACATAATATTCAATTTAGTAATTTACCTCAGTGGTTAAAGGAATTGTTGTTGTTTCTAAAAGTCACGGGTTCGAGCATCAGCAGTTACAACAGAGTAATTGAGCGTTCATTGTCAAATGATTGAAAATATTTAGAACATATACTACTTTATAATCACCTTAGCTTAATAAAAAAATGATGATTTGAAATTAATAATTTTAACATTTATCATGCCACTTCCAATCAAATCAAACATAATATAAGTTCAATTAATAAATTTTGCAAAAAAAAAATGATCTCTCTCTTGAACCCTAGATAATAATATCTTTAGCATACTCGTTTCATTTCATCCAACTAAGCTATTATTATTATTTATTCAATTAAAATATAGTTTTATTTAATTCTTATTGAATAACTATTCCATTGCAATTTTAATGAATTCCAACTAAACAAACATACAGGAAATAATAATCCTAAAACTTCCACGTAATATATTGTAAAGTGAGAAATTTATTGCTGAAATCTAACATATATATATATATATATATATATATATATATAAGAAACGAAAACAAAATCCTAAGAAACCAAAGAAGTATCATCCGATCAGCATTTTGGAGTGGAAGAACCCTTAGATGCTGCATCTATGAAATCAAATCAAGTTAGGATTATTACAAAGTTCCAGTCATCAAAGAAGAAATTAATTAAGATTAAAAAATGAATTACAGGATATTTAATCAGATTCAATGAATCAATGTTCATGTACACGTATATGTTACCTGAAGTTACAGATTCAACGGCCTCTGAGATGGATACACTTCCATCCATCTATAGCCATCCTGTTTCAATGAAAATCAGGATTTCTGAATTAGAGATGTAACTCTTTTATATATATATATATATATATATATATATATATATATCTTCTCCCCCACATCATCTTTGTGTATCATACAACCTTCATGCGACCGTTTAACATTATTATTGTCTCTAGGGACTGACGTAGGATTTTATGTTAGGGATAAACTTTTAAAATTGTAGGAGAAGAGTTACTTATAAATTAAATAGAAAATACAAAGAAAGCATATAAAATATATGATAATTTAAAGTTTTTAGGAGAAATTAAATTATCAATAAAATTCTAGAAACGAAAATATATTATCAATAGAAAACACAAAGAAAATATCTAAAATATATTATAATTTAAAATCAAAGAAAAATATATTATCAATAGAAAATATAAATAAAATATCTAAAATATAACACAATTTAAAATTTTTAAGAACTAGTAGGCCTCTCGGTATTTCTCCTATTGCCCCTTTGTTTTCATCCATGACCCCTCTATTCTTCTTTACCGTCTAAGGCACTATTGATTTGATGGATGACGGAAGTTTTTAAAGGAAATTTCGGTTGACTTAATTTGATGACTATTATTGAAGTTCGTGGTCTCTCATTTCATCAGAGTTTTTGCCTCGTAATTTTTCCATTGAAATGCAGTAACTTGGCTTCATAAAACGTGGGATATTGTTTTTTGTGCCAATTATTAATCCAATAGTTTCCCTTGTTATGCTTTGAGATTTATTTTATTTCCTAAATAAAAAACAAATAAAACGTAATTACCATGGGAAGATAACGCCGGCTGAGGTGCCGGCGTTGGTCGTTCACCCAGACCAACACCATCGCAGTCAGGTCCCACAGCACCTGAAGCCATCGGATTTATAAGTGTTAAATGTCAGTGTTTACTGATTAAACTTTAGATTCGTGAGTAATATTATTATTATTTAGTAATCTTAAATGGGTAAAAAAATTACATGGTTTGTAACAGGGTAAGGCAGGCATATGGTGAAATTTCTCAGAGCCGTCGTTGCAGTCGCATTGGTAGCCACTGTCGTTTGTTTTACAGCTCTCATAGCCGCACCAAGTCAGGGTACAAGCTAACACAAGATAGCCAAACCTTAGTTCATAATTCCAATAATTAATAAGTTGCATAAAGAGAGAGAGTTTCCTAGAAGCCATACTGTCAGACAAATTAAACGGTGGTGGAGGCAGCGGCGATGAAGGACTCCCGCAACCTAAGTTGAGCGTACATGTTTATAAAAATATTAATTGCTGAAAATATCGTCCTTTTTTAATTTGAACGGAGAGCCACGGTTGGCGATAAAATGACCGTTGAATGGTGTTTCTTCATGATAAATAGTTGATCATAAGAAGGACATAAATTGGGTGTAGTAAAGAAAAAGAGATTATAGAAGATTCGACCTCCCAAACAATCTAAACTAAAAGATATTTATAACGCTATTAGCTAGTTGTATCATACGTAGGGCCGTTATAGCTATTTGTAATTTAGCATGTTAAATATATACGATGTTCAGATCTTAGATTTCATTAAGTATATCATATGTGTCTGTCAAAACTTTTTTTATATATTATAATTGACTCGATGCTTAAGTCTGAAAGATGCGAGCTATATGGACTCTGATGAACAGAAGAATTAATCCGAAGATTTTATCCAACAAAAGGTTGAAAGTTTTCGAAGTTATTCTCTAAAGGTATAATACAAACAAACGAGGAAGAAAAAATGGAATAATAGAAGGATGTGAAAGCTCACAGTTGAGGATGATGCAAGTGGGTAATTCGATAGGACCCATTTTGAGCTTCGTCCAGTCGGGATAACAGTCGCATTCAAAGTCTAACAATGCACCATTTGTTTCACGGCAAGTCCCTTGGACGCAGCTTACGACGGAGCAAGCGTTAACTGCATCAAAACCCATGGCTCAGTTTCAAATATCCATGACCCACAAAAACAGTTAACATGACCCTTGCGAAATCTCACATGGGGCTGCTGCTAGCTTTGCATTGAACGATACAGAATTGGATTCTGAGCTCCCAAACAACCATAAAAATAGAACCAAATTGAAGACGTAAATGTTAGCATAAAATTTCATTTTGGTTGTAAACTGTGAGATTGAATAGAAAAACAAATCCATATCCATATTTATATACACCTACTGACACTGTACAAGATATAGAGATTCATCTTGATGTCGATTTTTTCCAAGACGGACACCAAATTCATCTACTAAAAATCAATATCTAAAGAAAATCTTAAATAAATACTACATTATAATTATAGTAGACTATTCAAAAGTTTTTTTTATCAATATATTTTAATTTGACTTAATATGATCTTAATTTAAAATTATATTTGATACAATAAAATCTTTATCCAGTTTTTTTTTTCTTTTCTCTCCAGCAGTTACGATTTTGACAATGATTACAAAGTGCCGGTAGTATTTAGTTCTTGGCCTTGGCCTGATTGCAGGGCAGGACGAAGGTAAGATTTTTATATTAAGGGTAAGTTTATAATATTTTAGAAGAATGAACTTTTATTAAAAATATAAATAAATTATTAATAAAAATATAAAAATATGTAATATATAAGAATTTGAAATTTTGAAGAAAACGAGTATCCCGAAACAATATAGAACAATACAAACACCCAATCGAAAACGATCATATAACCACAACAACTCGAGTGAGCAACCGATGATCAAATCAGGCCGATCATAAGTATTTTACAACAGACCATGCATGGCCAATAATTGGAAGTTCCAAAACTTTAAAAAGGTATAAACACTTGGAGAACATTTCGAAGAACGCCGGCAGCAGTATGATTGTATCTTTTATGTATTAAGTTTAATTCAATTGGCATTGTTATAATTAAAACATATAAAATGTATAGATTCGAATATATTTAAATGTTTAAAATAATTAAATGTTGACTGACTTTAAGCATTTAAAGCAAACACTCAGTTGTGGAACATATATGAAGTGAGATTTATTGTTGGAATCTTACATAATTACAAGGATTCCAAATCTAAGGAAAAGAAGAAGAGAAAAACACTCAAAGAAGCCACTTAAACACCATTTCATCAACTGGGGTTTCAGGCTTCATCATTCCGTTGAAGTGGAAGAACCCTTTGATTCTGCATCAATTAAATAAAAATGAAATTAACATTATTTCAAAATTTCATTCATCACTTAAATTAAATAAAATATGGAATATTTAATATTACTGTTCATGTACACGTATAAATTACCTGAGGCTAAGATTGCAGCCTCTGAGCATTTCATCAAACGGATAAGCTTGCATGATTCTATAAACATCCTGTTTCAATTAAAGTTAATAATTAACGCATGCATTCAATACAATTAGTAGATTTATATGTGTGTAAGTAAATGTTTTCCTCATTTTCCGTTTTTGATAGTTGGAAAATATTTTTTGGAAAATATTTTCCTGCGCTTGATAGTTATAATTGGTTTTTTTTAGTTTTTTTTGTATTTTATGTAAAATATTTTACCATCTAATTTTTGGTAAAACATTTTCCTAACTTTTCACTTCAAGGTATAAGCAAACAAAAAATATTATTTTATTTATTTAATATTAATATAATATTTTAATATAAAAATAGTAATTATTAAAATATTTAATATATATAATATAATTCTAATAATATTATATTAACATGTACTTCTAATTTAAAATGAAACTTACTTCCAAGGAACATCTCCAACCAACATCCAATCACTGTCTTTATCTTCATAAGTGGGAACATACTCCACATCATCCATTAGCTGGTTTTGCTCTCTTTTGCCACCTAAACCCACCACACCAAAATTGTAATAGTACCCAAACCAAATGATATTATGGCTGTAAAAAGCTAACCCGACCTGTAAAACTGACAAAAATCGACTCGAGTCAAAATTGTTTTTGACCTGCACTGTGGCGATCCGAAACCGACTCGAGTCGGAACTGGTGTTAACCTGAACCCGATTTAGACTTGGAAATTTTGGATCTGAACCCCATCTGCATCCAACCTGAGAACGACCTAAACTCGAATTGAACCAAAAATATGATACCCAAACCCGAACTGCATCCGACTGATATGAACCCGAGATTGGCTTGGTAAATAACTGGTATTACCCGACCTATTTTCAACCTGACATGTTTTCAACCTGGCCTGTTTTTAACCTGACCTATTTTTAACCTGACCTATAAATGATCCGACTTGTTAATGACCTGATCTGATATTTATCTGACTTATATATTACCATGGAAATCTTATAAATTATCAGTTTTTTAACTTATGATGTAATTAAAATATTAATATGATTACTTTTTAAATGTTATAATAAAATATTTATTATGATAATTATATTAATAAATAGACCTATTATATAAAATTATTTAATAAAATTAATAAAATTATTTAAATGTAAATTAGATAAAACATTATTAATAATGCAAAGGAAAATTAATATAGTTTAATTTATATAAATTATATAATTTAATTTATATAAAGAAAAAATAATATTAATAATAAAAGTATTTATTATGTAATATATATTAATGGTTTAGATTAATAATATAAATAATTTTGGTAATAAAATAATAATTAATTTGATAATAAATGAATATTAGTATTAAACGTTTAATTTTTGTACAAAAAATTATCTAACAATTATAACATAAATGAAAATAATATAAATATAAACTATACTGTTTATCTAAACTATATACTTCATTACTTTATATAGTTTATGCATAGTGTTTCTATAAATTGCATCGAATTGACAATTTAAGAATATATTTACAATTAAACCATGACTAAAATGAAAGAAATTAAAAATCAAATACAAGTGGAAAAATGATTATTGTTGGAGGAGCATGAGCCTAATTAACCCAAAATATCTTGTTGGACACTATATTTGGTGCCAACTTCCCAAATTTTTCTATCCCCTCTAAATTTCTCAATTTCCCTCTAAATTCTCAATTTCCCTATATTCTCAAAATTTCCTAATTTCCTTCTAAATTCCCAAATAAAATCAAAAATTTTCACACAAAAATCTTTCTTTTAAAAAGTTTTCTCTCACCACTCACTTTGTATAATATATATATATAAGTATATACATAAATATATATATATATATATAATTAAAAAAAGTGACTAAAATAAAAGATTCTAAAATTAACATTAACATTTAATAATTAGCCTACATGTATTACAAATATATGCATTTAAAAAAAACAAAAAACCCTAAATTACTCCTAGCCACCGATTTTGTGGTGTAAGAGGGAAAAATTTTGATTTTGGTTTTTGAAAGGAGACAAAACACTAAATGTTGGCTTAACTTTTTAGGTGGTATGATGTCACTGATACATGGTTAAAGGTACCAACAAATTCCAACCCTTGGATCAAAAGTAGATCCAATGGCCAAGATGTTGTCTTCTCCAAGAAGACTTCAAGCTTCATTGACATTCTATATATAAATTCTAATTATTTTTAATTTTCCCTTCTTTCTTTAATGTGCATAATTATTAAATAATAATGTTAATTTTAGAATCTTTTATTTTAGTCACTTATGTTTAATTATATATATATATATATATATATATATTCAAAGTGAGTGGTAGGAGAAAACTTTTTAAAAGAAAGATTTTTGTGTGAAATTTTTTGATTTTATTTGGGAATTTAGAGGGAAATTAGGACATTTTGAGAATATAGGGAAATCGGGAATTTAGAGGGAATTGGAAAATTTAGAGGGAATAGAAAATTTGAGAAGTTGGTGTCAAATATAGTGTCCAACAAGATATTTTGGGTTAATTAGGCTCATGCTCCTCCAACAATAATCATTTTCCACTTGTATTTGATTTTTAATTTCTTTCATTTTAGTCATGGTTTAATTGTAAATATCTTCTTAAATTTTCAATTCGATGTAATTTATTGAAACACTATGCATAAACTATATAAAGTAATAAAGTATATAGTTTATATAAACCTTAAACCCTAAACTTTAAACCATAAATAATAAACCCTAAATCCTAAACCCTAATATATGTATAAACCATGTATAGTATATATAAACTATATATATAGACCTATATATATATATATATATAAACTATATAAAGTAAATTACTTATATAGTTTATAGAAACACTATGCATAAACTATATAAAGTAATAAAGTATATTGTTTATAGAAACCCTAAACCCTAAATAGACTAATGCATACATATATATACTATATTAATATAAATTATAACATATAAACTATATATTTTATATAGTTTATACATATATAGTTTATATATATATATATACTATATTAATATAAATAATATTTTATAAACTATATACTTTTTATAGTTTATATACTTTTTATAGTTTATACATACATAGTTTATATACATAGTTTATATATATAGTTCACATAAACATAATTTATATATATAGCTTATAATAATTATATAGTTTATAATATAAATATAGTTTATAATTTTATATACGTAGTTTATTTATATAGTTCACATAAATATAATATATATATATATATATAACTATATAGTTTATAATATAAATAATAGTTTATATATAATTTTATATTATATATATATATATTATATTTTTTTCAATTTTTTAAATGAATGCAAATTAATATATTTTTCATTATTTCTTCACATTTTTCATTTACTTCGATTTAATCCTTTTGTGTTTTTTAATTTATTTCAATTTTAAGTCTTTCACTTTTATATGTATTCAATTTAGTCCTTAAATTTATATTTACATATTCCATTGTTAGTTTTTATTTATTTATATTTTTGTAATTGGCCCATAATTTTTTAAATGTGTTTATTTAGTCATTTTTATATTAATTTAAACCTCACATTTTAAATTTATTTCGATTTAGTCCCTTACCTATGTGTGTTGTATATTTTATATTTTAAGATTTTATTTGTAATTTTACATTTCTTCAATTTTGTCATTAAATTTATATTTTTTACAAAATTGATCCATGAATATTTATTTTTCTCTTAATTTACTCGAAATCATATACAATTACAACTTGCAATTCAACAATCACGAAAGATGACAAAATAATTAATCCCAAAAATAAAAACGACCCGACCTGAACTCAATCTGTATCCGATAAACATCCAACCTGAATTTTATCTGTCAATGATGTGACCCGATCTGAACGAGATCCGACTGAAGTCCACCCGAACCTGAATTAACCTGGTCTTTATCTACTTCGGACCTGAACTGTTTTTACCTGAACTGACATCGATCCGAACTAAAAATGACCCTACCTGAACCCGATCTGGATCTGGTGTCAAATCAACCTGAAAATAACCCGAACTGATTTGACCTGACCTGAACTCGATCTGGATCTGGTGTCAAATCAACTTGAGTTGACATGTACCCGATTTTACCTGACCTGCCAAGATCTGACTGAAACCTATCCGATTACCTGATTTTACAGCCCTAAATGATATTCTTAATAATGATAATGATACTCACCAATTGTGGAACAATTGAACAATTTCTCTAACTCTTTGAATAGCTCCAGGTAATTAGGGCAACCTTGTAAGTTGAGTTTGCGGAGGTATGGAGCTCCATCCATGGCTACTTTCACATACTTAAACCTCTCATTTAAAGCCTTCTTCCTACATGATCTCACTGGTGGCCAACCCACAACTTGTGCCCTTCAATATAACATATACACAAATAATTGTTTTATGATTATATTTATTTAGAAAAATAAAATATATGTTATGTGTATTGCTGAATCGGGAGAAAGGTTGTGGTAGTTTTTGGTAATTCGGTCCTTCTGATTTAGACAGATAATCACGTATGATTGTTTGGTCAAAGAAAAAAAACAAAACAAGCGAGCTATCCCTCGACTAAACAATCATCAACAGTTAATTGTTATTATCTTTTATATCACTCTCTAAAAGTTAATTGTTATTAAGAAAGATTTTAAATCGATATAAACTTGTAGCCGCCCTAAATTATTTAAAAATAAATAAATAGATAATTAAAGTAATATGTAAACTAATGGGAAGTTAATACCATTTAATTTAGCAAAAATACTTATCATTTTCAAGGTCGTGAATATATAAACAGCCATTGTACAGGTAGAAGAATGAGAAAGAAAAAAAAAGCCAAAGGAGAATAGGCATCCTTACTTGGAGGGAGAAGATTCTCCGGCACCGGACTTATAAACAGAAACGTTAAGATCAACGAACCCACGTTTTGTAGAGCACTTGACAGCCGCCGCCTCCTCCTCCGACGACCGTCCCTCCCCTGGCAGTCCTAGAGTCAGCTCCGTTTCCTCGAAACTCATGCTCGTTATGTCACTTTCAGGTGAATTAAGTGCTTCTTCCGACACCATCTCTCTCTTTCAACAGCTGCGTTTTGCATAAAAAGAAGAAACATTAAACTCTATGCATGGAAAGCTCAGGTAATTGCAGCTTTATAAGCAAAAGATGGAGGGAGATTGATTGTTCAGTCAATGGGAAAAGGACACGTGGGAACTGCAAGGTTCTGAATCACTTCTTGTATTCGCATAAGCAGCATTAAATTTCGACCACCTTGTCGGTTCATTTAATCAAATTTAGACCGAAACCGAATACTCCGTGCGTGTAAATTATAATTATATTTCGACTTATCATTAAAAATAATTAATTGCTTTAGACTTTAAATTAATAAATAATATATTAATAAAGTTGTTTCGTTCATTTAATTATCACTTTTGAATCTATTCTGCTCCACGAATCAACTTCTCCATGTAACTTCTGTGGAGGGAAATTCCCGAAGAGGAAGGTCTGAGGTCTCCGAACATAAAACATAAAGGACCGATAATCTTATACTCTTCGAAAAATTACAATTCTTTCACATAACTCCTTACAGGTTTTATATGATCTCTCAGAGTCAAAATCAATTGACAAGTCGATCACATTAGTTAAATTTATCTATCCTACTACCTTATAGATAGTCATTATGACTCTACACTTGACACTTGTAGCACCGTAAAACTGATTAGGCCTACAGCGCCACACTGAACTACTGAGGCAACTCCTAATTTTCAAAACATATTCATTTTCCTTGTAAATATACTGAATGATATCATAGAAAACTGCTATAAAAATGTTTTACAAAACCAGAGCCCCGTGACACAACTTAAAACCAAAATAAAGACTCTGAGTTTAATAAATTGAATAAATGAGTAAGGTTATATGAATACATATGCCCACTAAAGCTACAGTACAATACTATGTCGAAGATGTTGGAAGTTTTGCTGCAATGGTGCCCCACGAACTGTCCAAGCTACTGACATGCCAACGGAAAACATCTGAAGGTTGAGCTTACAAAGCCCAACAGTATAATCGCTAATCTAGAGCGGCATAAGAATTTCATAAACACAAGTATCCTGAAGACATGGTACTAAGCAGTAGGTACATGCATGATCAAGATCAAGTGCTACCTACTTAAAGCTTTATTATTCTATCACTGAAGTAGGGGTCTCACATTTCCCTTAATTCTCTCTTCAAGGCTTCACCATGAGTACACCACTAAAGGGTCTCTAACTCTAATGCCCGAAACTACTACGCATTACCTAAATTCGACACTGACACTCCTGTGCATTATCTGAATGCAACCTAACCATAATAGTGATTATCTGAATGCACCCTGACTAGTATCTGGTCTTACATAGCCATCAGACATTAGTTACTGAGGGAACTTGATGTCACATACCATCAATGCAATTCTCACTAACATACGTAATGATCTCCTGGTCCTCATATCAATCAGGTAGATCACAGAGGGGGAACCCGGTGTCACATAGCATCGGTACAATTCTCACCTATTTGAAGCATTGGCTCGATCTCACATAGCCTTCAAGACAAGCTTTAATATATCTGATGTAATGAACTAGTGCAATCATACAAACATCTCTAAGGCCCAAAGGCCATACAATATTGACATCGTTAACCCACTACTCGCGAGTCTTCAGGCCCCGCGCCCTTGTTAGCTCTTGAAGTGCCTCGTGCACTGACAATGTCCCACTAGGGAACTAAGGTAACATGGCTATACCCTAGCATAGCAGGACTTACTAAAGTGAGGTTATCCTCTCACTAGCTTCTATCTCGTTCGTTCTCTCATCTAAAATGTTATATGAAGGCTTATTAGTCTATTATTGTTGTTATTTATTAAGTTGCTATATTATGGTCGTTCGCTATTTCAAGACACTTTAGTCACTTTGACTCAAGAGAAGTCTCTACGCGTTTCGTGATTCACTAATGATTACTAAGTTTGTTGTTTACTGACGATGATACGGCTAGATTGATATTTGATCCGATTTTATTTCCAAGTAACGATACTCGAGTCGCTCTTATCAAACTTCCCTTCAATACCCCTTGAAATAAAATGGACAGCTCACCCCTCCTGTGTTTACTGACGTTCTCAGAGTTCACGCCTCTTGCTATTACTGAATCTAACTTATTCATTGTACCGCTTGTTGGTATATCCTCTGCAACGATCCTCATCCTTAACAATCCGTATACAACCTCGACATAAGATATTTCAACATATTACGCTTAATATGGTTACATCTGTTGTAAGCCACTCCTATGAGTGTTCCTAGCTATCTTTGGTCATTTATGTCCCTCACGGACTAAGTTTTACTATTATAGATCGTACTTAGCTCATATGGGCCTTGAACGGGTCAAAACTAATCATCCAAAGTGAGTATCATCGATACTCTACTTGTAGTATCGATACCCTAGGGTCATGTATCGATACCACTATGAGTATCAGTACCAAAAATACATTATGTTGCTAAAAAGGGGACCTCAGAATCAATAATGTCACCTTGAGTATCGATACTGAAGGGGTAGTATCGATACTATCCCTGGGAGCATCTATACTCCCAGCCTAAAACCCTAATTTTTGCCCCAAATCATCTAATATCGATATTGTTCATCCCAGTATCGATACGTGAACCCTGAAATAGTTTATTTAAGCTCAAAAAACACCCAAAAAGCACTCTAAAGGCCATAGTTTGATTCTAAATCATGTAATAAAGTTTTATAGAGTTAACTAGGGTCTCAAAGGTCATGAAAACACTTCCTTAATACCTAAAATTTCTTTTAATCTTGATATCAAGTTTAAACTCTAATATGCTTAACTACACAAATCTTAGCAATCTTGAAATTTATGAAAGCTTAATACTCCAAATGATTAGAAATACACTACCTTGATGTTTGGATCCCAAAATTGAGTTCTTTTCTTAGCCACACTCTTTTCCTTGGCGACTTGAATGAAAACTCCCACTTTTTTTAGCTAAGAATAAACCAAGACTTTGATTTTTTAAAACGATGTTGCAATGAGGATTATGAACAATAATAAAGCATGAAAAAGGTTCAAGACCTTACCTTTAACCTATGGCTAGTTAGAGAAGATGAAGAAAGAGGAAATGGGGAAATGAAATAAAGATAAATGATTAAATGGGATATAAAAAGCCCTCATCTTTACAAAATGGGGAAATTACGCTTTTGACCCTTTCATATCTTTTTACTATTCAAAAACCCTCTTTTTATTTCTAATTAGGACCAAGTCCAAACCCAATTAAGCCCAACGACTTAATTTATGAAATCCACGGGGCTCGCATGCCTCTCGAGTAAACCCAAAACTACTAGCCCAAAATTTGGGGTGGTACAACACCAATAATAAAAGTCAATGTATAAACCCTCGTAACGTGTAGAAAAGGGTATTCTTCTTCTCCCCCTATATGGGTATTGGCACACCCCTTTTCTCATTATTGTAAATGTTATGTACAAATGACTAAAACAATATAGGTTATGGTTCTCCACTCAAATGAAAAGGGGTAAATCACCCATCGTAAAAAAATCAACTTTTTTACATTAACAATTGGTGTGGTTTTTCGAGTATGCCCAAAGACCAATTATATTATGATTGTATAGACATATTTTATTTACCGTATTTATTGAATAAAGGCATTACCATTATTTTCTTTTATTATATTTCTATGTATTAAATAAACTAAAAGATAATAATGTTCATACAATAATATGATTATTGTTAAAAGATCCTTAGTCAAGTATTATTATGGGCATGGACAATAATAATATGTTTTAGATTAACATGTTATTGATTGATGACAATGAGTGTCATTGACATAGAGATGTCATAATTGATGCATGAATATGTTGTTAGAGAACAATGTATTGGATTAACCCGCTATGAGCATATGTCTTGGATTATTATGTGTCTATCACGATACTGCTCATGATGACAACCATATGTATGATCCTTGACTTTAGATTATTATTATCTCAACACATATTGTTGTATGTTTTGATACAGTTAAACGTACTCCGTAACTGGTTCTACTATAAAGACTGACATATATAGTGGGGTGTGAATAATCGAGATAGGATTTGTCCTTCCTACATAATAGGAAATGTATCATAGACCACTTGATTAAGTGAGACTATAAATGCATGACCATGCTCGAATAAGTTAATATGAGATATCACAAATTATTCATTTACTATAGTCTACTCTAGATATCAAGAAATAATATACGGGTTATACAAGTGTGACTATTCCAAGACTTGTGTCTATTCTAGATATAAAGGACAAGAGGATTTAATACATTAAAAGAGTTAGTCACGAACATTTTATGTCGAAACGTGGCTTCCTTTAACTTAGGTAACAATGATATATTTCTAGATGTCACTAATTGTTTATAATATTAGAATGGCTCTAATTATTACTATTAACGTTACTAGAACCTAGAGGGCCACATCTGATGGTTGAAAAGAGCATTTTATAAATGTATTACTTATGCACAATTTTATTGTACATGAATAAAATGTTTCATTAATATATATATATATATATATATATATATACACGTGTAATTTTAATTACACATTGAAATATTAAATTTAATTAAAAGAATATAATTAGGGTATTAAATTCGGATTAAAACCTAATAGCTAGGTGACACATATAAAAGGGATATGTTGGTCTAGCAATAGTTTTTTATCCCTTTTTCAGAAATTTTGAAATTGATCTCGATAGTTTTTTTCAACTGGGTGAACTGAGTAGAGGCCGAGACAATATTCGTGGAGGCTAGGATTCCAATCATTTGTAAGATCGTGATTCGTTGTTGTATTGATGTTATTCAAGGAACCCATGGTGAGAAATCGTATCTCTTCCTCCCGAATTTAACTTTTCTGTACTTGGATCATTGATAAGACTGTCGTTTTTGTTTCCGCTGCGTTATGTGGTGCATCGACGATCCCAACAGTAGTATCAGAGCTAGGTTGTGCGATATGGATTCGTGTTAAAATTCTTGGTTGA